ATACATGTAGCCCAAAATGCACGAAGCAAAGATTTACTCATCTTAGGAGAAAACGTAAGAGCTTTGAAAAGAGGGCACTTACGAAGAAATTCGATGATGATGAAGAAATCTGGATACTTTTCGTTGTGATCCAACAATGCCACAAAGTTGCATGGAGAAAAAGTAACATCATCAGCAGTAAGAGATTTCTTAACCTTTGGAGCTTTGGAGGGAGTTCCAACTTTAGAAGCCATGGATGAAGAAAGCTTGAAGATCACACAGTAAAATCTTTGGAGAAGAAAGGTGGAGGTTTGGTTAAAGAGATGGGAGAAGGAGATGAGGTAGAGAAGATGAGAGTTGGGGGTTTTAAATAAAAAAAAATATATGGTGGGTAAAAGGAGGGTGTGTATGGGGAAGGTAAAAAGGGAAGATAGGGGTGGTGGGTGTGGGTCTTAGGGAGATGGGGTGGATGGGATGGGAGGTAGGAAGGAAAAAGGTGGGAAAAGAAAATGTTTGGGAAAAGGGGACACAATTATTAGGTGGATTGTTGGGGGGAGGGGGTTAAGCGCCGATTTGAAATTGGCTTGGGATAGGGGATAGAGAAATCGGCTTGTGAGGAGAGGGAGAGGATCGGCTTGTGGTTTGAAGAGGAGAAGCCGATGGATGTGAGGTTGAGAGAGAGGGGGAGCGTCGGTTTATAAAGAGGGAGAGGGGGTCTAGGTTTTAGAAAATATAGAGGATGGGCCGAATGTAACGGGCCGAAGGGATTTTGGGCCGAGTGGAAGAGGGGTTCGGCTTGTGGTAGAAGGGAAGGGGGGTTCGGCTGCGGCTAGGGGGGGAAATCGGCTTGAAGAAGAGAAAAAATGGGGGAAGCCGATTAGGGTAGGCCGAAAAGAGGATGGAGGGGTGTGGGATCGGTTTGTTGTAGACAAGCCGAATAGAGAGCAAGCCGAAGGGGGGAAATCGAGTGTTGCAAGGAAACGGCTTGGTGGTGGTGGAAGCCGAATATGGGGAGGGGTATAGGGTAGAGAGGTAAGCCGATGGGGGGGGGTGAGCGATCGAGGTGGGAGTGTGAGGGAGAGACCGATTGTAAGGGGGGTTAGGATCGGTTTCTTGAGGTGTAATCGGCTTCGTGGGGGTCGGCTTATGGAGGTGTAATCGGCTGGAGATAGAAGAGAAGAAGGAGCGGTGTGGGGGAGAGATGGTCGGCTTATGGGCGAGAGAGAGAGGCTGAATGAGGGAAGTGAAGGGGTAAGGAGGAAGCCGAAGCCGAGGAGGGGGGAGGCGCCGATTGGAAGAGATAGGGGAGGCCGAATGGGTGTGCGAGCGTTCGGCTTATGGTAATCGGCGAGGGGAGGAGCGGTGTGTCGAAGGATTGAGGATCGAGGGGAGAGGCCGAACGAATGAAGTGGGTGTGTGTGATCGGCTTTAGGTTTAGGAAGAGGTTTCTGGCATGAGGTTTAGGCTTAGGTTGGGCCCAAAGAGAGGAGGCCCATTAGGAAAGAGTTAACAAATACCTAACAAGCATATATAAAATAAAAATACTACACATAACCTTAAACTTAAACCTTTGGCCCTTTTTAATTAAGTAATTAATTTTTTTTTTTTTTTGTTTTTCAAACAGAAACCTAACTCTAAAATTTAAAATAAAATATAAAAAATTAAAAAAAAATAACACAAAAACATATAATTAATTTTCTCTTTTTGTCTTTTTCGTTTGTTTGTAAAATAGAAAATAAAATAAAGTAAAAATAATATAGATATGAAACACAAATAATTAATTTTGCTTTTTGTCTTTTTCTTTTGTTTTTAAAACATAAAATAAAGTAAAAAAAATACGAATATATAGATATATATATCAAAGACAAATTTTTTTTTTAAAGAATTCACATAGAGATTTTTAGAGAAAAAAAAATTGATTTTTAAGAAAAAATACATGAGTGGAAAACCCATCATTTTGCAAAAAAAATCAATATTTTAGAAAAAGAAAGATAGTATATTCACACAGATACCAGACTATTTTTGAGCAAATGACATATAACATTTTTAGAGAAAACACAACCCAAAGGAATTGGTGAAAACTCAAAAATTATTTGTCAACATTTAACATGCCCAACTCACTGATCAAAAAATTGAAATGAGATTCATCAAGAGGCTTGGTAAACAAATCAGCAAGTTGATAGTCTGTAGGGATAAAATGAAGTTCAACATC